CATCCTTAAGATCCTTAGGCGTTACTTTATCCCAGGGCAGATCTACTGTGTATCTCGTGGGCATCAAATGGTTATAATTTAATATCTGCAACGAGATGTAAGTAAATGTCATAAAAAATTTTGATGCTTGTTACATGTCATTTGAAGATTAACAAAAAGGTATATTGGCAATGCTTACTTTCACAAACGGCTTGATCTTCGAACGTTTATGAATCTTCGCTTTGCCCATCCTTTTGTGTACTTTACGTGGATATCTATCAATGCCTGCAACCATTGCATGACCGTATTGTTTTTCGGTAGTACCATCGTCATAATTACGCATGACAATAGCTTTTCTGCCAGCGTATCGGCCGCTGAGGACCAATACGACTTTCCCTTGTTTCATAATCTTCACCATCTTGAAGATTTGTGCTAGAAATAAAAGATAATTAATGTAATTCTAAGAATGGACAGTACAAGAACAATGATTCTGTTATGAAAATTGTTCATAATAATTTATTTCAAGTTAATAATGACTCTTCTTTTGTAACGTGATTGCTTTTTTAATACACGATTTGATTTGGCAGTTGTAAACACAGTACTTAACATTGCACACTCTCAGTAGAAGACAATTATCATCAGAATTAAGAATAGACAAAATTAACATTTCTCAAAGCGCATAACTTTGAATTGATTTCTTTAACTTTAGGTACAGCTTGACATAAACAAAACTGGGATGTTTATAACATACTTTAAGATCTATCATTAAACTAGTAAATTCGAAAAATAATTGCTACTCCGAAAGTATTGGAAAAGGCACAATTCGAAACAATGATATATGTATAAACAAATTATTTTAGTATTTTTCGATGTTTTTGGATTAATTTGGACATTGACAAAGGACACACACCTCACGGCTTTTCACACCGGAAAAAAGGAAGTTAACCCAACTTTCAATCGTCTGTTCGCTTTTCAAAATCCGAACTGTAGATGTCATCACACTAGACATCCGGTTACCATCCGACGATCGTGATAAACCAATCCGGAATTACGGTTTGAATGACGTTTAATAAAATTGCTCGTTGACAGAGGAATATTCGTTTTGAGTCGATTCGATACTCCCTTCTGTTGTACGCCGTGCGTAACGCATTGTACAGTCATTTCATCTGTAATGTAAATCGCATATTTTTTAAAGGCACAATTAGCCTTTGTATATTTCTTATCCTTGAACCACGGATCATATGCAATATTGTTTGCACAAAAACGAATACTATCGTTGCCAAAATATCCAAACCTTTCGAGAGTTCGAGAATAATCTCCCGATAAATTTCTCGATACATCGAAATGATTGGTCGGCATAAGTAGCTTCCTGCTTGCTTGTAACTTCGCCTTCGCACGAGCGCACGAGGGATGTTAATAGGCATTATTTTACTCGTATCGTAGGATTTTTTTAAATATACGATTTACCGAGCGACCGAATCAATTGAAAAGACTGATATTGTTGATATCCATTAGTGATTGTGAATACGATAAGTTAGCGTAATGGCATTAAACCCCCAATATGAAGTTATCGGGAAGGGTTTCGTACAACAGTATTATGCGATGTTTGACGACCCTGCTCAAAGACAAAATTTAATGAATATGTACAATGTAAGTCCAGATCGCCTGCAATTACATTTGTTTAACGCGATACCTTTTCTTCTGTTCATTTATGCGTTATTACTTTTGCAGACCGAGTCATTCATGACATTTGAGGGTTTGCAAATACAGGGTGCTATGAAAATCATGGAAAAATTAACTGTAAGTATTTCACATAAAAAATGGTTTGCATCTCAATTGCAGCTTAACATTGTATACATCACATTTTTACTTTTAACATTCTGTGTGAATGAAGTGATTGTTTATAAATGATGTATCAGAAATCCATCTCCGACATATGCATTATATTTAATACTAAATTTTGATTTTTAGAGTTTAACATTTCAAAAAATAAATCGGATAATCACTGCGATTGATTCACAACCAATGTTTGATGGTGGCGTACTCATTAATGTATTAGGAAGGTTGCAGGTAAGAAAAATATCTTATTATATTAATGTTACGAATGTGATATAAATACAGGGGATAGGACTTCTTATATAAAAATAAATATAGTTGTTGTACTTATGTATACAACAAGATTAAATGAAAAAGTAATGTGCAGAGCTTTTATTCCAATTAGTTCAGTAATTTAAATCAAGTAATTCCTAGTATATTCTACTTAATGTAACAATACAGTACATTTTTCAAACAATGAAAGATATTTGATCGAACTGCTACTTTCTTTCTTTTTCTTTTAAAGTTCAATACATTTACATTCTCTATTTGCCCATATATTGTATTTTATTGGCTGGACATGCTACACACGCGTGTACTGTACTGCCTTACATTTTTTGTGCTGCCATATGAAGATAGAGATTGAGCTATGACTAATGTTCAGCAACAATCTCTCTATATACCTACGTGAAGAAGATGAAATAAGAAAATTGAGTCAGATTGTTGATGATTGGGCAGACTGATGAGGATCAGCCCCATGCATACATCCAGACATTTGTCCTGAAGCCAATTGGCGTGAGCTTTTACGTGCAGCATGACATCTTCAGACTTGCTCTGCACGACACGGTTTAGGCGTCAGGTATTGCTATTCCATTGATCTTCGTTCCATGGTACAGGCAAGCCCGATACTAACTTCTAGTGTCTAAAAATCTGCTTTATGTTTCTTAGTATGCTTGCTTGTTGTTAACTTTCATTTGAATTTGTATTATTTTTTGCATTATTGCTTTTGCCTTAACTAAAAAGAGTTACTTGAAGAAGAAGATAGAGAAATAAAAATGTTTGGTGCATTATAAGTGATGTTAATGCACAGCAATTGTAGAAGATCTAAAGATTTCAATCGGTTCTGTTATACCAGAAACATTCTCATGTAACTTGGATGATCTTCAGAACTCTGATGATGAAAAACTATTAAATTGCTGAACTGAAAGGAATAAAATTTGTGTTTTATTTTTTTTTTTTATAAAGATTCCATTAGATTGCATTTGCGTTCTTCGTGCATCAGTAGAATAGTGGTTAAAAAATACTACTGAGAAAGTTACACAATAAGAGAGCTTAATCGATACTCAAAACTATATGCTATTATTACATTTCATTAAGATTAAGTTAAATTAGGTAAATATAAATTTCATACATGAAATTTTGTAACATGGTAAGTTTATCATTGTTTTGTATACATATACCCTTTTTATTTTAGTGGCATTCACACAGAGTCTGCATGATCAGTTATTAATAAAATTATTAACTGTTTTCAATGACAATTCATTAATACACATTTTTATGTATAATCATTTCAGTACCATATTACAAAATATCTCTTCAGATTGATTTTATTTACGATAAGCGAAGGATGTTCATTTAATTCACATGCACATGAAACAAGTATAATTATATATTTCTGATGTATTACAGGCAGATGAAGATCCACCACATGCCTTCTCACAAATTTTTGTGCTGAAGCCACTGGGGAATTCATTCTTCTGTCAACACGACATCTTCCGCCTTGGAATTCATGATAGTGCATGAAAATGAAGTGTCTGCGAATTTATCAGAATGATTAGCAGACAATTGTCTGAGCAATGGACTCCCCAGGGATTGAAATAAGTGAGCTACTTCCTTCTTATTATCCTTTGTCGTCGCATATTATTCCATTCTTTCTAGATACTGCAGTTTTTATACGAAAAATATTCGCTTATATCTTGGCCACAGAGCAAAAAGAGAGGAGCATTAAAAATAAATACAGTTTAATAATTTTCTTGTTTCTCTTATTATTTTTTTTCTTACTAATTATGCCTGTTGTTGATTATACATTTATAATATAATATTAGGATACAATGAATTATTACATGATGTTTCATTCTCATGGTTAATTATTACGCTTCAAATTACATTGTTACATATTTTATCCCCTTATGCTGTGTGTATTTTTGTAAGACAAATACTAGCCATTAAATACAAGATCTGGAGTTAATAGCGTGGCGTTAGTTTCCATTCTACAAATGTGTGCAATACGAAAAATA